ATATATTAGGCATTTAAAACCAAATAATAATATAAAATATTAAATAAAAAATTAAAATAATTAATTTATTTCTATAATATAAATTATAAGATATTTATATTATTTATGTTAATTCGATTAACTGATCAAATACACCAATCATTTCCGTTTTATTTTGGTTTGGATCAAATACACCAATCGTTTCGGTTAACTCTGCCTATGTTGTCTCAACATAGCAGGTCCCAAGCCCTGGTAAAGGATGAGGGTTGTGATAGGCTTGGCGAGCCACCTAGCCGTTCTATGGAGATGAAACACATGAGAAATTTGTTGGAGCGTAACCCTCTTAACGACGCGCCATAACCCGGGTATGGTGTCAAATGGGCAAGGGCCGGGTCGTCTTCCCCTCGGGGACGCGCCATGTCGTGGTTTGGGCATGGTGTTAAGTGAGCAAGGACCGGGTCGTCATTTCCTTAGTGGCGCGCTACATTGGCGCCCGGGTGTAGTGGAAAATGAGCAAGGGTCTTCGCATCTCTCTCGACGGGTGCGAAGGGCAAGGAAGCTAGTCGAAACAACTAGGGTCCATATAGGTAGTTGGAATGTAGGGTCCCTAACGGGTAAGCTACGTGAGCTAGTCGATGCAGCTATTAGGAGGCGTGTAAATATCCTTTGCATCTAGGAGACAAAATGGAAGGGTTAAAAGGCGAAGGAGGTGGAGGATACTGGCTTCAAGCTTTGGTTCACTGGGCTTCATCGAGTAGGAATGGTGTAGGCATCTTGATCAATAGGAGCCTTAAGGATGGAGGTGTCGATGTTAGGAGGCAAGGCGACCGGATTATCCTAGTCCGATTGGTAGTTGGAGATTTGACCATGAATGTGATCAGTGCTTATGCCCCTCAGGTAGGTCTTAGTAAGAGCGCAAAGAGACAATTCTGGGAGGATCTGGATGCCTTGGTTAGTACGGTGCCTGCCAGCGAGAAGCTCTTTGTAGGAGGGGACTTAAACGGCCATGTGGGTGCGACTAAGGTAGGTTTTGAGAGAGTGCACAAAGGGTTCGGGTATGGTAGTAGGGACGAAGAGGGGGAGGGTGTGTTAGACTTTGCGATGGCCTACGACTTGTTGATAGCGAACGCCCTCTTTAGGAAGAGGGAATCTCACCTGGTGACCTTCCATAGTGGACGACACTCAAGTCAGATCGACTTTATCCTTGCAAGGAGGGAGGATAGAAGCGCTTGTGTAGATTGCAAGGTGATACCTGGGGAGTGTGTTGTCCCCCAGCATAAGCTGGTAGTGGCGGATTTTCGATTCCGAACACGTGTCCACCGGGACAAATGTGCCAAGACCGTGAGAACGAAGTGGTGGAAGCTTAAAGGAGAAGCGGCGCAGACGTTTAGGGATAAGATGCTAGGTGAGGGGCCTTGGGAAGAAGGAGAAGATGCATATGCCATGTGGCTAAAGATGGCAACATGTGTACGGAAGGTGGCTGCAGAAGTACTTGGTGTGAGTAGGGGAGGCAAGCAGAAAGTGAAGGACACTTGGTGGTGGAATGACGAGGTGCAAAGGGCTATTCAGGAGAAGAAGGAGTGTTTCAAGCGCCTCCACATTGACAACAGTGCAACCAACATTGAGAGCTATAAAATAGCGAGAAGGACAGCAAAGCGTGACGTGAGTGTAGCGAAGGGTCAGACCTATGATGACCTTTATCAGCGCCTAGGCACGAAGGAGGGGGAGAAGGACATTTATAGGATGGCTAGGATTCGGGAGAGGAAGACAAGAGACATCAACCAAATCAAATGCATTAAGGATGGGTCGGATAGACCACTGGTGAAGGATGGGGAGATCAAGGACAGATGGCGAGAGTACTTCGACAAATTTTTTAATGGGGAGAGTGAGGGTCCTACCCTAGAGTTGATGACTCATTTGAGGATACCAATAGACGCGTGGTGAGGAGAATTTGGGAGACAGAGATCGGAGATGCTATGAAGAGGATGAAGGGAGGTAAAGCGATGGGTCCCGATGGTATCCCCATTGAGGTGTGGAGATGCTTGGGCGCCAGAGCGTTAGTATGGCTAACTAAACTTTTTAACCTCATTTTCTGGTCAAACATGATGCCTGATGAATGGAGGAGAAGTACTTTAGTACCGATCTTCAAGAACAAGGGAGATGTTCAAAGCTGTGGTAAATACCGTGGGATTAAGTTAATGAGCCATACGATGAAGCTCTGGGAGAGGGTTATCGAGCATCGCATACGATGAGTGACGAGTGTGACCCAAAACCAATTTGGGGTTATGCTTGGAAGGTCGACCATGGAGGCGATTTTTCCTAATACGACAGTTGACGGAGAGATATAGGGACCAAAAGAAGGACTTGCACATGGTCTTTATCGACCTTGAGAAGGCTTATGACAGAGTACCGATGAATGTCATGTGGTGGGCCTTAGAAAAGCATAAAGTCCCATCTAAGTACATTACCCTCATCAAGGATATGTACAAGGATGCGATGACGTGTATCCGAACATGTGGGGGCGATACCAGCGACTTCCCAATTAAAATAGGACTACACCAGAGGTCAGCATTGAGCCCTTATTTATTTGCCTTGGTGATGGATGAGGTCACAAGGGACATACAAGGTGATATCCCTTGGTGTATGCTTTTTGCTGATGATGTGGTGCTAGTTGACGAGAGTAGAGCAGGGGTAAATAGGAAGTTAGAGCTGTGGAAGGACACGTTAGAGTCGAAAGGCTTCAGACTTAGTAGGACGAAGACCGAGTACATGACGTGCGCTTTCAGCATGGCTTCACATGATGATGGTGACGTTAGCCTTGACGGGCAAGTGGTGGCCAAGAAGGAGACTTTCCGATATTTAGGATTGATGCTACAAAAGGATGGCGGCATTGACGCTGATGTTAGGCATAGAATTGCAGCCGGTTGGTTGAAATGGTGGCAAGCTTCGGGCGTTCTCTGTGATAAGAGGGTACCACAGAGGATAAAAGGTAAGTTTTATAGGACGGCGATTCGCCCGGCGATGCTATACGGTGCTGAATGTTGGCCTACAAAAAGGCAACATGTCCAACAACTAAGTGTAGCAGAGATGCGTATGTTGCGTTAGTTCTGCGGACAAGAAGGGATAGAATCCGGAATGAAGATATTCGAGATAGGGTCGGGGTGGCTCCAATTGAGGAGAAATTGGTTCAACATCGGCTGAGGTGGTTCGGACATGTCCAACGGAGGCCTCCTGATGCACCGGTGCGTAGGGGAGTTCTACTGCGGTTCGAGGACGTAAAGAGAGGTAGAGGTCGGCCTAAACTCACTTGGGAAGAGTCGGTTAAGAGAGACCTTAAAGATTGGAATATCTCCAAGGATTTAGCGGTGGATAGGAGCGTTGGAGGCTAGCAATCAACGTGCCAGAACCGTGACTTTTGCTCCTATCTCTTTTGCTCCAATCTCTTCCTTTTGTTTCAACCCCTTTTTTGTTTCCTTTACCGATGGTTCTCCTGGATTTCATCTCTAGCCTACCCCGACTTGCTTGGGACTAAAGGCTATGTTGTTGTTGTTGTTGTTGTTGTTGGATTAATCATTAAAAATAATTTTATTCAAGTGCACATTAGTGTTGGATTGGTTGTACATTAGTGACTGTCGATTTGCACTATACCGACCGAAACCGACGAACCAAGTTTTTCGTTCGAATTTTATATATCAGTTCGATAAACTGTTTTAACCTTTAAAATTTTAGTCATTTCGGAACAATGACAGATTTATTTTTTAAAGTAATCAAAATAATATTATTTACTTATATTTTTATTTAAAAAATAATAATTTCCAACAAAAACAAAAATATAAAATGATATACATAAATATTAGAATTACTAAATACGATTTTATAATCTGAATTGTATGTTATCTTGGTTAATTCAATTAACCGATCAAATAAACTAATTAATTTTATTCGATTTTAAATTGGTATGAAGCACGATCAGTTCAGACAGCACAATAGGGAGTAAAATCGTGCATAATATTTTTAGACTAATTGCACATTAATGTATGATAGACTGCACATTATTGGGCATTTTATTTAGAGGAAATTGCACCCCCTACTTCATCCTCCTTAATATTTTATAAATTTACATCTCGTAATTAATTATTTATGGATTTACTATACTAAGAATAAAAATTTGCTAATATACCTAAAGGTTTAATTTTTGCAGTTATCAGATAATTAAAGATAATGGGCGTACATTACGGGCAAATTAAATCCTCAAAAGAAAACTGCTCCACTTCTCTCGGAAAAAACGATATCTCATTCAGAAGGAAAAAAAAAACTTCCTCCGTCAAATGGCGAAAACCAAAATCACACGAGATCCTGGCGAAAAAACGGTGAAAGAAGGCGACGAAACACCACAGATAAGGTCAAGTTCCCGGCTTCGGAAGAACATTTCAAAATCAAAGCCCGTAATGATCCAGAAGAAGTTAGTTTTTGAGAAAAAAACGAAACCCAACCCTAATCGCAAGCCAGCCGGCAACGCAAGGATGAAGAAGCAAGTTCCATCCCCTGATTCAGATGATTTCCAATCCGAACACGGCCGAAAAAATCCGAAACACATGCGGCGGGACCCTAAATCCAAAATCCCCAATTCCACTGAGAAGGGTAACTCGTCTGACACCGATTTCGAAGATGAAATTCAACCCGAAGACGTCGATAGCAAAGATAATTTCAGCGAAGAGGAATCCCCGGTGGAAATTTTCAACAAAAGAATCAAAAAAAGGCTTCAAAAAGAGAAACCTGAAGTTAATTTGAATAAGAAACGGAGAAAACCGAACACCGACCCTCAACATGTTCAGAAACAGATCGTGTATAAGGTAAAATTTTGTGTACATTGCATTTTTTTAATTTTTATTATTTTTTTAAACGTGAAACATCATTGTTGTTTATTGATTATGAATTGGTTCATTTTTGTCGGTTAATTGGTGTATGTGAACGAATAATTTGTCATGGTCCTCACACTTTTATGTTTGACTAATATTGTTCTTTACTCCTAGGTTGTTGATATCTCTGTTTGGTTGACTAATATTGTTCTTTAGTCCTATATTGTCCCTTATTTTATATCTCAAAAACTGAGTATATATTTGGTATATGTCTGTGTATATATTTGGTGTATGTCTGTGCTTTATTTCTCATTTTTATACCTCAGATTATATGTCAAGTATATGCAATTGTTTTTTACAAGTATGTGCTATATCTGGTATATTTATGTTTAGAATGTTTGTTGAGAATGAATGTTGAGAATTGCACAGGACATGTAAAACTAATAAGCATTCAAAACTGATTATATGTCAAGTATATGCAATTGGTTTTTACAAGTATGTGCTATATTTTGGTATATGTATGTTGAGAATGAATGTAATGAATATTACACATATTGTAGATATTACAAAACATTGATATTACTGATGGACATAGAGTATTTGAATTTATTGTTTGGTATCTCAGTTGTATATTTTGGTATATTTACTTTGTCCCCTTTCCCTGTTCCATATATATTGTACATATTGTAGATATTTTAAGTATTTTTAACTATTTTTACAGTAGGTTCACATATTGTAGATAGTCTGTTATATTCTGAAATATAGGTCAACTAATAAGCATTCAAAACTAATTATATGTCAAGCATATGCAATTGTTTTTTACAAGTATGTGCTCTATTTTAGCTACAGAAATACAACTAATATATACCCACTCAAGTGTATAACTCTTATTAGTATATTAAGCACACTGTAAAACTGATAATTAGACTGATTACTATATTTCTGAAGTATATTTACTTGTCTAAGCATAGAGAATTGTAAGCTGTCAACAACTATATACTGATTGATTTTGTCTGTTTTTGGTATATCTATGGATGTTGAGAATACATATAACAGAATATAACTGAGAATATAACTGACTTGTCTGTTTTGTTATATATGTGAATGACCTGTCTGTTTTGTAATATGTGAACAAGTATATAGCATAGATATAACAGAATATAACTGACAATTTGTATTATTTGTAAGAATGTTGAAGAAGTTCACAGGACATGAAAAACTCTTAAGATTCTGTGAACAATAATATGTGAACAAATACATTTCTAGTAATATGTGAACAATATGCTAGTAACCTGTGAACAAGTATATCTGTGCTAAGCTGTGAACAATTACTGAACAATATGGTTAGTATGTTTTAGTAATCAGACATATCGTGTATATAAAAATCTATATTTTTTCTTTTGATTATTTTTCAGGAATGGGAATTGCTTATCCCGCATCCAAGGGATATAAACGTCAAGGTGCAAAACAGCAACGACAATAGCAAAGAAAAATGCACGATAAGTGACATCAAGAATAATCTTTCCAAGGACCAATTGGAAGCTTTTCGGATGTCAGCCTTTGGGAAATTCTTGGATCTCCCACACTGCATTGTCCAGAACCAGCTTATAAACTATATACTTTTACGCGAGGTTCATCAGAGTAGGACAGATGAGATGTGGTTTGACTTCGGAGGGAAATTCCTCCGGTTTGGTATAGAGGAATTTGCTGTCGTGACTGGCCTGAAGTGCACGGGGCATAGTAAGAAATTGAATATTCCAAAGATTTCCAATGGTTTGCACGACAAGTATTTTGACGGTGTTGAATTAAGTCGGAGCCACATCAGGTGGCAGTTTCAGAAAAAATTGTGGAAGAGTGACGAAGATGCGGTGAAATTTGCTAAGTTGCATCTATTAGCAAATTTCCTCATGGGCTCTCAAGATGCTCTCCGCATAGACCGCTGTTTTGTTGACATGATCGACAGCCCAGATTGCGATGATTACTCGTGGGGAACCACCGTGTTTCAGTTTACGCTGCACTACCTGAAGAAATCCATTCAAACCAGAGAGCAGATGCACATATCTCATAAGGATGACGGAAGTAACCTGTATCGTTGCTATGGTCTGATATTGGCCCTTCAGACATGGTTTTATGAGGTTTGCGACATGGCTGAGGGTGTAGTCGCAACCTACGTCGGTGTACACGATATCCCGAGGATAATAAAGTGGGAAGTTCATGAACCGTGCACTCGTATTTTTGCGCAGAGAACCTTTTCTAATCTACATCACTCTAAGGTAAATAATAATGATTTATTATTTCTATCATATATCTGCCGGGATAACAATTTAATTTTTCTTATGTACAGTTCAATAACATCGTTCCAACCGAGGCCGAAAAACAAACTCTTTTGTTGGACTCATTCTTCAGAAAAAAAAATGAGTTCACTCGGAAAAAGATTCCATCAAGCGCCGCACCGCAGCAGACCAATGACGATGAAGTTATAACCCGCCTCGACACACTTACTGCTGATGTCCAGGACCTGAAGGAAGCCTTCCACGACTTCTCGAGAAGGGTTTTTGCTGAATTTGCTTTGTTCAAAGAAAAATTCTTAGTAAGTCATTGTTCATTTTTTTTTTAATACTTATGTGATACATACATAGTATATATGTGGTCATATACACCATTTTTTATAGCTTCTGAATTGGCATACTCTGTGTACATAGTATATGTTCAGATCATGTGTGTTGATATATACCACATCTATAAATAGAACAATGGTTATATATTTATTTATGATAGAATGTGGTCAAATATGCCAATTTTTATTGCTTCTTATAGTATATGTGCAGATTATATTGCGTCATATATGTGGCCATATATGAAACATATATTGCTTCTAAATTGATTTGAACAGATGGATGTATTATACTTGAACAAATATATGTGGGGAAAAACATTGATTTTTACTGATGGACTGATAGTTGTTGATTTAACTGTTTGCTATATTAAAAATATATGCTGATATATTTTTCTAAATCCACTGTAACTGTTTTCCAGTAGATTATGGTATATTTTAAGTATTTCTATATCTCTGTTTTGAATGGTTTCCTTCCAGACTGTAACATGTTTGGTATATTGTGGTATATTTTAAGTATTTCTAAATCCAATGTCTGTCAACTGTAGCATGTTTGGTATATTATGGTATATTTTAAATATCTCTGGCTTCCAGTATAATATGGTATATTTTAAGTTTTTCTAAATCCACTGTACCATGTTTTGTATATTAAATTTATTTTTAAAACAAATTAAAATTAGATTTATATTCAATCTGTATATTCTGGTATAATTTAAGTATTTTTATATTAGGTTCTCATAAAGCACGAGGCATATGTACTATATATAAACATGAGAGATGTTCCTCTATTTTTAAGTATATATTTAAACTGATCATATGTTCCTTTACACTATCATTCCAATATGTATCGTCATCTCATCACATTGACATTACAACTTAGGGTGTTTCAAGTGAAGACCAACATGTCGACAAAGGGAAGACGACTGAAGATCTTGTTGGAAGTGAAATGCCAAATGATAGTGCACACAAATCAGCTGGAAAACAGACGGTTTTTTATCTTTAATTATATATTTGATTATGAACAATTATATTAACATTTATATTAAACTTCGCATTTAAAACTTTTGTACTGTTTTAATATTTTAAGTCCTCTGCCCCTGTTCCATATGAATTATAGTATATTTTGAGTATTTCTATAGTAGGTTATCACATAATATGGAATCATATACACCATATATATAAATATCAGATATGTTCGTTTATTTTTCAGTATATATTTAAACTGATTAGATGTTCATTTATACTATATCTAAACAGATGGATGTCTTATATTTGAAGGAATATATGTGGAGAAAACATTGATATTACTGATGGCCATAGAGTATTTGAATACATTGTTTTGGTATATCAGTTGTATATTTCTGGTATATTTACTATGTTCCCTTTCCCTGGTCCATATCTATGTTAAGTCCCCTGACTCTGTCCCATATATTTGTTAAGTCTACTGCCCTATTCCATAGATAATCTGTTATATTTTAAGTATTTTTTATAGTAGGTTCACATGTACTATGTGTTCATATATACCATATATGTGCATAAAGTAATTAATGTCATAAAGCAATAAGAGGAATGAGANACTTCAAAATCCTACCAACCCTGATATCCAGCAAGCCAACCCTGATACCCAGCAACCCAACCCTGATACCCAGCAACCCAACACTGACATCCATCTTCCCAACCCTGATATCCAGCAACCCAACCTTGATAACCAGCAACCCAACACTGATACCCAGCAACCCAACACTGACATCCATCTTCCCAACCCTGATATCCATCTACACAGCAGCCCTATCGACGACGATGACACATTCCCCCTCATCAACACCCAATTCATAGAGGAGATTGAGAAGACTATTCAAGAAAAATTAAATGAAGTACCAAAGGGAAAAGAACCGGTAACTACATCTATTATATTCAAATATATGTTAGTTATATATATATAGAATAAAAAATGCGGGATTTATATATATTCAAATTAATTCAATTTATTGGTTATATGATATGCATATACGCAGAGAGGGTTCAGTTACGAGCCACACCCCATATTTGGGTATGCAGTGAATGGGTCTCAGCCATCGTTTGACGCCATAACTGCTGCTCTACCGCCGACGCCACAACGAAAGAACGATATTCCAGCACCGGTCAATAACGTAAGTTCAATCACTTCAATTTTTGTATTATTTGTAATATCTACAATCATTTTTTTGTTTAATAATAAGTTAATGTTTTTTTCCACAAATTTTTATCATTATATTTCAGACTGCCGAGACGTTTGAGGCGGTAAGAGGGGAGAATCCACAGCTATTAAAGGCACAAGAGTGCCATTCTTTGGTTGTATATAGTGCAAAGGAAGACGAAGTGAGGCGAACCAAGAACCCCAGGAGAAAATTGGAGAGTGAAGTTTCGACCAATAAACGAATAAGACTTCAGAAGTCTTGCCCATTCGACGTCGGTTTTGGGATAAACGTTTCTGGGGAAGTGGACATGAAAGACTTCAGAGACTGGATTGGAGAGGGTTTGCTCAAGACGGCTCCTCGCAAAGTCGGGAACGGGTACTACTGATTTTTTTTTTAGATATATAATTAGTTAGATACACATCAAATATACTGAAAGGCACCGATAACTATTTATGTCATATACCACAAATATACTGGAATATAACTTATATTTTTTTGATTTTGTTGTGCAGTTATAATTACTACAAGGTCAAGAGCAAAACTTTGCCAGCACCTTTTGATTTTAACGTTTATTCTACGACGGACAAGAATTGGTTTTACCACATACATGAGATCGGATGCTTTCTCGATAGCAGCGTAAGTAGCATTGTGTATACACTTAGTTATTTTTTTACTAGTTATATATATTTTTTTGGCTAATACAATTGAGCACGTATGTCTGTTGTTTATTATAATATAGATATATTATTTAGGTTTATCCCTATTTTTTTATTACTTGCCTGTGACATTTGTTTTATTTATTTTTCTACAGCACATCGATGTCTTTTTCTACTACCTGAGGAAGATTGGATATTATGCTAAATTTGCCCCTGTCAGGTATAATATGCTAAATTTGTCCCTTATACTGAAAAATTTGTCCCTTAGTGTGCTGCTCATTTTATATCTCAAAAACTGAGTATATATTTGGTATATGTCTGTGTATATATTTGGTATATGTCTGTGCTTTATTTCTCATTTTTATACCTCAGATTATATGTCAAGTATATGCAATTGTTTTTTACAAGTATGTGCTATATCTGGTATATTTATGTTTAGACTGTTTGTTGAGAATGAATGTTCAGAATTTCACAGGACATGTTAACCTATTATGCAATTGTAAAACTGAATATATGTCAAGTATATGCAATTGTTGTTTTTTACAAGTATGTGCTATATCTAGTATATTTATGTTTAGACTGTTTGTTGAGAAAGAATGTTCAGAATTTCACAGGACATGTAAACCTAATATGCAATTGTAAAACTGTATATATGTCAAGCATATGCAATTGTTTTTTACAAGTATGTGCTCTATTTTAGCTACAGAAATACACCTAATATATACACACTCAAGTGTAAAACTCTGATTAGTATATTAAGCACACTGTAAAACTGATAATTAGACTGATTACTATATTTCTGAAGTATATTTACTTGTCTAAGCATAGAGAATTGTAATCTGTCAACAAGTACATACTGATTGATTTTGTCTGATCTTGCCCCTTTCAGGTATACAACGACTGATGTGTTGTTTGACCAACACATTAAGTCGTTGTACCAATTGTTTGTGTCTCAGTCTCGTAACAGGTCCTTGTGCAATGTAGACGATATGATCATCGACTACATACTGGGATATAAGATTATATGTGGTGTTTCTTGGTCCAAGGTTGATCATATCCTGTTCCCCATGCATTTGGAAATAAACGGGGTGGGTCATTGGATTTTGGGACGATTATCTCTTGACGACATGAAACTGCATATTTACAATTCAATTCGCACTGGAGATTGCGATGAACTTGTTATGGAGAATGTGAAGGCTTATGTCGAGATTCTCCCAATTTTCCTTGGTTTGGTGAATTTCTCGAGGAATGGACTGGCATGCAGCGGCAATATCGAGGTGGTTATGGTTGACAATATCCCACAGCAGCACAACAGGTACAATTTAGGGGATTTTGAAAGTTGAAAATGCCATTAACATGCTTTATTATTATAATTAACATCTTATCCTTTATTTTTATTTATATTGTCGACAGTGATTGTGGGGTGTTCGTTGCATCGTATGCCGAACATTTCATTGCGGGTCGTGAGATCACCAAGGAGAAGTTTAATGTCACCGAGTTTAGGGAGAGATACGCATATTTGCTATATACTCATGGCCTAATGAAACAAACCAATGGATACGCCAGTGACGATGAATCCCCTGGTAGTACACCCGATGAAGTTAGGTTTAGTCTGTTGAATGTGGGAAAAAAATCGTAGACATTTTTTAAGTATTGTAATGATTGATTTTTTTTATGGATGTGATTTAATTTGGGAAAACATTGAACTTGTATTCTGGCATATCCAACAGAATATTCTGTTATTTTTCTAGTATTTTAGATGTACTTTTTGGATATTTTTCTGGTCATATTATGTAGGACAGATTAATTGTTCTATTTTTTTCCCTTTTCCTTCTGTTTATTTATGTTTGGCATATGTGTGGCATGACTGATTACATGCCTTATATTCAGAAATATTTCTAGTATGCCTGATTATATTACATATAGTCTGGTATATCTAACTTATATTCTGGTATGCTTCCATTATATGTAGTTTTACGGTATTTTTATGGTGTATATTGGGACAGGTACAGTTGACTTAGTATATCTACCTTATATTCTTTTATATTTTATGCTGGTAGAAAATATAACAGCATACATATCATTTTATGGTGTATATTTGGGACAGGGACAGTTGACTTAATATATGTACCTTATCTTCTTTTATATTTTATGCTGGTATAAAATATACCAGCATATATACCAACATATGGACAGTGGAAATTTTTGGGCATTTTCTGGTACTTTCACATGTGTGGCATATTTTTTAGGACAGGGACAGTGGACTTAGAAAATATACCAGCATATATTTTCAATATACCAATGTTCAGTTTACTTTTCCAATGTTCAGGTGTGTAGAAATGTGATATAACTACAAGAAAAAATAACAAGTAGTCATATGAAGCAACAATCGACTAAAAAACCGTTTATACTGCACATGGCAGTGCTAAGGATTTTCAGCGTATTGGATTGCGACAAGTTTTCACATTATGTCCTTTCTCATGACACTTGCTGCATCTATTTTTTGATCTATGCTCCCATCCCGACTTGAATCGTTGTTTGCGTGGTCTCCCTGGCCTGACTCTACCATCTGGGGGATTTACCAATCTTGGTATAGACGGTACATCAAATTTGAAGGCTTGATCACCTTCTATTGGTATTACTGCCTCTTCATAAGTTGCCAACATAGAAGACGTTAAGTAGTATTCAGAACAGAATGGGACCGGATCCAGGTGGAGTGACTTGATCACACGTATAGCGTGCGGGCACGGCAGCTCATCAACTTGAAAATGGTGGCATGTGCAAGTCTTGGATTCAATGTCTACTATAAATGCCTTACCATTAGACATCACTTTATACACTCTGTCACTGGCTTTTTGTACCTGTTCCACACATTAGTATATTTATAGTATATTTTTCGGTGTATAACATGAATTTTACACAATAACACAACAAAAAAGGATAAAAATAAGAAGAAAACCACAAACAATACAAATATAATGTATGTTATATGTGTTGCATGCTATTATATTTATAGTATATAATCAGGCGGAGTTCAACATGTGTGCAGGCTATACATATTACTATATGCATAATATGTAATCAGGACACTTGTCAGTATATGTATAGTATATAACCGGTTATAATCCATTAATAAAAATAAGGAATATAAATAACAACTCACTGAATATCTTGCTGCAATTTGGTAATTCGTTTCCAACCACCTATGTGGCTTCTTTGCAAGAGGAGTAAAAGTGGCCTTCGCTTCGTCTCTGTTTGCCACATTCCACCTTTGTTGCATATCTCTAAGCGCCTCTAGTAGTGGTGTTATCGGTAGATCACGGACGGATCGTATGGCAGCATTTATTGACTCAGCACGTTAGATGTCATGGTAAAATATCTATTATGGTTGCAGTGAACCCTTGCCCACTTGTGAAATCCAATTTCTTCAAGATATGGTACCACATTTGGATTCAGTTTATTTATCTGTGCTATATGCTTGTCGAACTCCTCTACAGTATAGGCCCTTGCAGCTGCATAAAACTCCTCCTTCACTGCCTGTGCTTCTGTCTTATAACGCATCTTCAATTTGTTTGAGATGTGATAGGTGCACAGACAATGCGCCGCATTAGGGAACACCTATATGAATAAATTATAACATTTTTTTCAGATATATGCAAATCAAATAAAAATATTCCTTTTTTGGATTACGAACATATGAAGCGAACGTATATTACATATGATTACAACGTAACTGTTATTGCACATATACTACTAGCTGGAGAATATATCATATGTCATATAAAAAAATATCCAACAAAAACATAGAAAACAATACCCTTCTGTGACTAAAAATATACTAAATCCTGGAGAACATATTATAGTTCAGTGGAAGAAAATTTTTTGTGAGAACTTTTGCCAATTATATACTATTCTCCTGTAATTATATGTCACAGCAAATATACCCAACTGTTTACAAGAATATACTACTTGCTGGTGAACACATTATATTTCAGATGAAAAAAAAGAAAAAAAAAGGGCTGGAGAAGTTTTACTACTACCTTTTCTACAGCGTGCCTTATGCTTTCGTGACCATCTGAGACAATGCAAATACCCTCCCTATCACCAACTACTTCTCTCAGTTTTGTGAAAAACCAGCCGTAGGAGTTGTTATTTTCAGAGTCAACCACGCAAAATGCAAGCGGTAATATATGAGAATTTGCATCTTGACACGAGGCTGTCAATAAAATTCCCCCGTACACCGACGTAAAAAATGTCCCATCGACAATAACAATCGGCCGACAATGTACCCATCCTTTAACAGATGCACCGAGTGCCATGAAAACGTACATGAAATTCTTATCACATGTGGTGCGCATCATCACAATGCTACCCGGGTTTGATGCACGTACCTTACTAAGATATTGATGAGCATAATCGTATGACTCACCAACCTTGCCGCGTACTTCGTCAACAGCTTTGCGTTTCGACCTCCATGCTTTGTGATATGTCAAGTTTATCCCAAACTGCTTTTGCATGTCGTCAATGATATCACCCGGATTATATGCAGTTTTATTGTTAGTGAATTTTGTCTTGATGAAACTACTAACAAGGGTTGATGTCGCCTGTCTCTGACTACTAGTACGGACATCCAAACCACATATATGTTCAGTCCCCACGTCTCTTACCTTGAAAGTGTTTGCCCGACCCATACGGGAAGCTTTCACAAACCATGTACAATCGCTCGAGACACACCTGACATAATATAAAAGTGTTAAATATAACAAAATATAATTTAAATATAACAGAACATAAAGTCAGATATACCAGTATATATGTTAGATATATGTTAAATATAACAGAATATATGTTAAATATATCAGGATGCTAATCAATCGTCACACCTGACATAATATTTTTTGGAGCATGACTTGTCAACCTTGTATTGATACTGATGCTTTATAGCATGCATGGTCAACATCGTTTGTAACGTTTCCTTATCCTTTACTAAAAGACCAGCAACAATACCGGAGTCAAAATTTTCCTCGCCTGTCAACCGTAGTTCAGTACCATGGTATATGTCCAGTATATTTTCGGTATATGCTGCCACTTCTACCATCTCTTCAGCCACGTTCCTCGCGAACGACATGAAATTTATCGTGCAATCTGACTTATTAGGTTGCCTGTCAAGCTCCGGATAACAAAGTGGAGCAATGTTTGACTCGCCATTAGACGAACCTATATTCACTTCCTCATCAAACGAATTTTCAACACTACTCCGAGATTTCACCACAACGCACACCGGATATTTCGTGTAGTCAGATTCTTTGGACACCAAAAACACATAGAAACCAAGGCTGCTATCGCTGTTTATCGACATTAGTGGACTACCTTCCTTTAGCTTATATTTCAGATCAAGCACAGATGATTGACGAATCAACCCGAGCTCCTCACACAATATACCGCATAATTCATTGAAGCTCCCTTCTTTTCGAATCAAAACACCAGATAGTTGGTAATTCACGTAATCATTCATCACCCATTCACCCCCATGATGTATGAAGATCATCATATTCGGATCCATCTGGTGAAAATAAAAAAAAAAACAAAAAAAAAAAAAAAAAAAAAAAACGAGGAGAGATCAGTACGAAATAACCAAAATATACCAACACGGTATAAATGTTAATTACACAAAACATACCTCTCAATATTTGGCCTTTATGTTTCGGTTCTTGAGTGCTGTTCGGAATGATGAGAGCTCGCCTTTGAAGAGCGAAGGCGATTGATGGACAAATCCCACAGATTTTTTTTTTTTTTTTTTTGGATTAATCACCGTCGGAAACTTTGTCTCGCCGGCGTGTGTTTATTTATTTTCTCACATCCGTACTCCGGTCCTGAACATGGAAATTATGTAACTGATTTACTCGGAAATCAAAGGGATAGAAATTTCCGCATGAGAGCTAAAATTAAGGGCTACAAATATGGTATGTTTGTTTTTTAGGTGTAACTGATTCTAGGCAATACTTTAATTATTTTTTGGTTTTTAGGTACATACACAATTAAAATGGGTGAACTGGTAAAGATACAATTTTTTTAAAATCGTGTAGTATAGGTGAAAATTCCCCTTTTATTTATTATTATTGTACATGCATTGAACTTTTTTTAAATTACATAATTGCCTCAACTACTAAATTATAATATATTAAAAGATATGATATTGTATACAAGTCCCCAAATCTTATCAAATTTTCATTTGCAATTCCCATCTCCAATGATTCTCCGGCCCCCAAAATCGCATCTGCACCACCGATTTCCTAGCCCCCATCCCGCCGGTACCGACTCCGCGGACACAGTCGCCGCCCCCATCATGTTGCCTCCTAAGCCCTGGGCCTGATTATTCTTCCTCTGTCACAAACTTCCAGTGATTTCGTACAATTTAGTAAAATCCGGCGACAAGCTTGGGCCGGTTCATACGTATTTCATCATCTCATCAGAGAATCTTCATGATCAGCTAATCGTCGTCGACACGGGAGCTCTCGGTGTGAGCTCTTGTCGGGCTGTCGGAATTGGCGGGCGGAGGCGGCAGCGGGACAGTCGACGACGACGACATGACCGACGGGGCTTGTTGCGGTGGTCGGCTTTGTGACTGTAGCTGGTGGTGGGCTGTCGGAGAGCAAGTCGTTGTGTGTGAGTGTGTGTGTGTGAGAGAGAGAGAGAGGGGGGAAGAGAGGGAATTGTTGGCATTTAATTATGGGTGGGGCCCACTTTGTTGGTGGTTTGGTGAAATTACTCAGCTGCCCTTGGATGTATTTGTTTGACTATTGTTATTTAATTTTGACTTTATCATGTTCATTGATATGGTTGATCAAATGGTGAATAATTATTCTTATTTATTTCACTATCTATGTCTCATATGATCCCTCTCTCTTGCTCTCTGTTTATATATATTCATACGTGTATGCATGTCTCTATGCTCAGTTGATAATTGATTACTTTCTATAGGCTTGTTTCAGTTGCTATAGGCTTGCTATATGCTCAGTTGAAAATTATCATTACATAGGCCCGGGTGGGGCTTGTTTCAGTAGTTAGACTATCTATCTAACACGAAGACAACCATACTTTTATAACTTGTTGGGTATAGAGATGGATTCACCTGGAAGGTTGAATTACTGGAAAGAGATTAAAAATTTACCATTTTCTTCCCTTTAGTCGATCAATGCATTATGCCTATAGACTGCAAAGAACAGATCAATTAAAATAGAAGAGCTGCATATATTTATATCAAAATCTGACCAAGCCCCGAATGCATTCATCCAATTTAAAAATTGATCTTTCTTCTAGTAGTTAGAATATGCTCATCTCCTATCTTATGACCTACAACAGATGGTTAACAATAATGAATATGAAACTCCAAATAATTTCACAAGTTACAATTACTTCTTTGTACCTATGCCTGAACTGCAGCTTGAGCCGAATGCTCTGCCGTCTCAACATACGACGAATATGACGAGGAAACTTGTAAGACGGGCAGAGCAGGAGTAAACAAGACCGGCTTAGGAGGAATCTGTATGGATTGAAAACTCCCTTCTAACATCTCCACAACCATCGAAATCGGAGGCCTGTCCGATGGGTTTGTCTGAATGCACCAAAATCCTACCAAAAGCATTTTCCAACAAGTTATGTCTTCATGTGTGGTAATACCATTATTAACATCATCTATTACACGCTCGTAAATTCCGTCAGGAAAATAATTCTCGCTCGACTGAGTCATATCAGACTGACCAACGACGAGAGCGTTTGCTCCAGCCATCTCAAGAACCATCATCCCGTAGCTATAAACATCCGATTTATGCGAAACTCCTCCGAAATTTCTGGAGAAGACTTCTGGAGCAATGTACCCAGGCGTGCCTCTCGTCCCAAGCACGGACACCAAACTCTGCTTCTTCTTGCACAGTTTAGCCAGCCCAAAGTCGGAGATTTTCGGACAAAAGTCTTGGTCGAGAAGAATGTTCTGAGGCTTGATGTCGAAATGAACAATCCTGGTGTTGCAGCCCGTGTGCAGATACTCGAGGCCTTTGGCTACTCCAATTGCAATCTTATAAAGTGTTTCAATATCCAAGCGTTGGAGTGATCCGGCAGCAATGTACTTGTCTAGAGATTTGTTAGGCATGTACTCGTACACCAAAGCTCTCTTTTGTGTGTCGAAGCAAAAACCCAAGAGATTGACGATGTTGACGTGGGAAGTCCTGCTGATGCTGGCGACTTCGTTAATAAACTCCTCTCCGTTGCTATTTGTATCGGTCAAAAGCTTGACTGCGACAAGGATGCCATCGGGTAGCTTTCCTTTGTACACGCTGCCGTATCCTCCTTGTCCTAGCTTCTCGCTCAAGGATTTGGTCATTTTCTTGATTTCGGTGTATTTATAGCGCTTGAGAGCCAGAGATCCGTGCTGGAGTAGAAATGTCTCGACGTTTAGGTTGTGACGGCCTCGTAAATGTCTTCTTCTAATGCAACAGATTGTGGTAATGATAAATAACAGACTCGCAACAGTAACACCCATTATGATGCCTGAAATATGTATATATATCTCACATTGAGGCAAGGCAGGGCAGAAAAAGGGGATTATGATATTAAATAAGAGTAGCACAAGGATTAATGAATTACCCACTAGTCGCCCAATATCGACTTTTGATGAGCCTGCAAAATTAACAGAGAACCTGAAAAACTAGAGGAAAAAAAAATAAAAATAAAAATTGAACAAATATCAGTGGTATAATAATACCATCAACACTACCACCACCACCAGGAGGACCGCCATTGCCACCACCACTTTGAGGAGGATAGGAAGGACTAATTTGCGTAGGAGGAATAGCTTGGATATGAGAAAACAAGTTCCGAATTAAAATCACATTGAACTGTCGTCCCATCAAAGACAAGGAAATGTGCACGAATCAACTTGAATAAGATGTAACTAGTAATTGCAAATACAAACTAAAAACGTTCTTACGGAATGATATAGCCCCAAGAGAAATTGAGGAAAAAGAAAAATCAAATGCGTAAGCATTCATGTGTGCAAGCCAAGTATCCTGTTGCCAATTAGTAGTAATCTAATTGCAAATATATAGGCTTACACAGGAACTAAAGAATTAGATGTATTGCTAAAATAAAAGACAAGAAGAAAAGAAAAACCGCCAATAGCAACACCACTTCACCAAACTCCTGAATAAATTGCAATACAAATTAGGACTTTCTTAACTAAGGCACACATACAAAGACCTTAATGTGGTGATATCTACACTATAAAAAATCTTAATTAAACATCTTTTTTTTTTTTTTTTTTTTTNGAATATGTCAAGTAAATATTGATTTTATGTTTAATGTACCTGGGCGCGTGAGGAGAGGTTGGGAGGGGCAGAAGCGCAGGCGGTAAGTGTTGGTGCCTGGAGCGCAAGTGAAGAGGCTTATGGCGTCGTCCCTAGGATAAGTGTAAGCATCTGGACACCTTCGCTTGAAAAACATGGAATATGTTGTGGGCCCACAATTGGCTGCCGTTGCATTAGAACAACAATACTCGTCCGTGTTGAAAACTGTGCACGGATTGTTGCAGCCGCCGGGAGCACGCAGCTCGCCCGGACACTGCGCGTTGATATCCGCATCACACCTAACCCCTACGCCGTAAGTCGAACAATTGTGGTTAGGGTTTGTAGGACTGAATTCCAAGGGGACATTAAACCCATCCACCACAGATATGTCGAAATAATCCTGGTTCAATCGGCCGAGCACATATTCGGCTAGTGTGTTGGGGGCTGCGCCGGGGACCCGGCACTCGAGCTGCCCGCCGCAGTCGCCGGTCTGGCAACGCCCTTGGCCCGACGAATTGAAGGAGCAGCCAGTTCGGGCCCACAGTCGGCCGTTTGTGCTGGTGGGAACGTTCAAGATCCAATTCTGCCCGGAGTCGAGGCGCCGGCCTCCGCCGGGGACCGCGGCTGCCCATATCGTGTACGGGCAGTTGTTGTGGATGACAAATGTGGATGACGTGGCATCGATGAGGAGGAGGAGGAGAGTAATGAAAGAAGGGATTCTTAATTTTGATATGAGCCTCATAATCATCATCGTCATCTTTGTTTGTTTGATTGATCTTCTCCTAAACCATGTTAATGTTAGATCGATGACTCATTCGTATGTGGTGTTGGTGTAGACTGTAGATGCTGCGTTCATTCATTGGATTTGGGGGAGTCGTCGTTGACGGGCGTGGAAACTTTGCGCTTACTTGTAAGTCAACATCTGCACATCTATATGCCTTGAAAGCGGATGGTTAACAAATCATTTATGGAAACTTCATAAAAAATTTAGGTCAAAGTCTTTGACTTACTTATTTTGGAAATCCAATTTAAATTCTAATGTTGCAGTATTTAGGTTGTGTTTGGTAAGCCAAATAAGCTAGTTTATAGCTTATTTGGTTAGCTTATAAGCTCTTTGTATTCAAATAAGTCTCGTTTGGTAGGATCGAGCTTATCTTATAAGCTACTTTAGGTAGCTTTTCAAATAAGTCAGTTGATTTTTTTATTTCAGCTAGCTTATCAGCTAATTTTACCAAACACTTTTATCATATAATATAGCTTTTCAACTATAAGTCATAAGTTATAAGCTATAAGTTAAAAAATTACAAATAAGCTATAAGCTAGCTCTAGCTTATCAGCTAGTTTTACTAAACATAGTCTTATTCCTCAAGCGCATGGAGCCAACAACCTTCCTTTTTTTTCAAATTTGATTTGTATTTAAAATTTCATAAAATCTGATTTCATTGGTTTACATATCAACAATAATTATATAAGCCAATTAAAAAAATTATATTTTAATTGATGAACTATATTAAGTATAATTAAAAGAAATCTTTTAGTTTTTCAATTTTCTTATACATTAAATCATCAAAAAAATCCGTTAGTTGTCATTTAGCCCAATCCAAAAAGCTGTTAGTTTTCATTTAGTATGATTTTTTTAGCATGAAATAAACAACTTTTCCATGCAATGATAATTATTACAGACAGGCACGGAGCTGTACCTGGGCCAGGGGTGGCACTGGGCACCCCTGAAAATTTTAAATTATTCAGGGGTATATTAGTAAATTCACAATAAAAATAAAAAAAAAAATATATATATGGTTAAACTAGAACTATATCGACAGACGACAGAGGAGCAAGAGCAAGGCTGCAAGAGGAAGAATTGTACAAAAAAAAAAAAACAACTAACTCCTTAAGATTTGAGAAAAGATTTCTATCTCCATACCATCGCCCATCCGATTGGCTTTAGTTCATTCCCGTTCGGCCGCCCGACTTCAATTCATCTTCGTCCCGGCCGTCCGGCTTCCGCAAAGCATCCTTTTGAGTAAGTATTTGTTTTTCTAATTTCAGAATGTTGAATCAGAGTGGGATGCTAATATACCTTTTATTGGGATTGGATGTTTATGGAGTGACTGAAATTCGCCTAAAATCTTGATTGTTCGGATGAATGTATGAATAAGTTCCATTTTTAATTTTCTTGTTTAGTTTGAAGGGACTTACAGTGGCAGACCGTTCCAATGATTGAGGCAATTTATTTGTGGCTAAGACTTGAGTAATTCTTACCAAAAAGACTAATAAAAAAATCCTAATATCTTTTGATTTTCTTTTTTCTTTTTTATTTTCTGTTGTTGATTCATTTCATTATATAAAAGCTTGTTTGATATTTTTGATATTAATAATCACATTTTCCCATTTGGCTTTTGAATTTTTCACTAGTTAAACATCTTACAGCACGAAACATGTACATCTTAATCTTACGTCTTTTTACACTTTATGTATTTTTTTTTTGTTATTATTAGTTGGACCCCAATCGATAAAATTCCTAGTTCCGTCATTGATTACACATTTTCAAATTGAGATCCACATATATACGAGATTTACAATTTTCTTTAAAAAACATTTAGGTTTAAATCAAATAATCATTTCACAATTCTTATTCCAAAACAACTGCTTATAAAAAAATCATCATAATTAATAATTAATAAATTATGTAATTGATTTAAATAAAATTTTTATTACTAAAAATTATGCAATTGACGAGAAATAATTTTTTTTTTGTTTACAGTAGTAAAAATATATTTTTTTTAATCTTGAGGTGTAATCGAATGTCGTCGCAGTTCTAAACAGTAATGTAAAATATTAAATTTACACGCAATTTTTGGTAAAATATTACATTTACACGGTAAATCACATATAGAACACTTGCAATATCATCTGCATACAATGAGATTACAAATTGATAATAACAAGAGCCATATATTGTTACTTAGGCTATGTTTGGTAAAACTAGCTGATAAGCTAGCTGATAGCTTATTAGTAATTTTTGAGCTTATAGCTTATGACTTATAGCTGAAAAGCTAACTTATATGATAAAAGTGTTTGGTAAAATTAGCTGATAAGCTAGCTGGAATAAAAAATTCAACTAGCTTATTTGAAAAGCTACCTAAAGAAGCTTTTCAAATAAGCTCGAGCTTTTTTAAGCTACCAAATGAGACTTATTTGAATACAGGGAGTTATAAGCTAACCAAATAAGTTATAAGCTAGCTTATTTGTCTACCAAACACAGCCCTAATCTTTGCAATTTCAAGATAACATTATCATTTTTTTTTCCTACGATAACATTATCATTTTAAATATATCTTTTTATTTCATGTTGGTAGAAACCCAATTGAATTAATTAAATAAAATATTTAATATTTGATTAAAAAAATCTTTTTCACCGTGTATAATAATTGTCTTTTAAAGCCTGCAAAATTCTATTACCTAATCCGAAGCGCAGTGTACAAGAATGTAATTGATTAATATAATATTTATAAATTAAAAAATTCATGAATTTGATACCTATTTGATTTCTTATCTATACATATTGTTGATGGATGTGGCAAGTTGATTTTTTATTTAAATAGGTTTGACTTACTTATAAAGGAAATTTTTTGAATAAAATTTAAAATTAACTTTTATCCTTTTGTCTGAAATTTAGTTTTCATAATTGCAAATAATAAATTATAAAAGTTTTTTAATTTAATTTGATTTTTTTATTCATATTTAGATTTAATTTCTAGAATTAGATATTTAAACACAATAATAAATTGACTAGAAAAAATAATAATGTTAAATAATATCAAATCTTATTTTATTATATTATGAACTTATAAATTATGATCTACATGGTTTAGTTAAAAATGGTTTTCATTATAGTAAAGTTTAACAACTAAAAATTAATTCAATAATATTTCTCGAAAACAGTCAATTTTTAAGTACCAAAAAATTAAAAACCAAAATATAATGATAAAAACTACTCCATAATAGAACAATGAATGACATGCAAAAGAATTAAATGCCAAGGCATATTGCTAAATAGGTGAATGTTGATTGTTTAAGATATATTTCATATTTGATATATTTATAATAGTAAAACTATTACAACGATTAGGAAAAGATATAAATTATAATTTATCGTAAAATTATAAGAACACATAAAAATAAATATTAACTAAAAGTAATTAAATGTAATTGTCAAATAAATTATAAAATATGCCAACTTTGAAGCGGGATATTTTTCATTAATTACAAAATAGCACATTTCATACATCTTTCTATCATGATGAATTATATGAAATAGATCAGTATCCTTATAAGGAGTTAATGTAAAAATATAAAATATTTTCTATTATAAAATAAAATAATACATAAAATAGCTTACATTCTATGAACTATTATTTCAAATGCACAATTATTTAATAATTTGTCAATATTATAAACTAATTCTTTTGATTATTTTGTTAATCACTTATAAAACAGATACATGTTTATATCATAAACTGAACACAGAGATTTCTAATGTTATTAATAAAATATATAATGGTATTTACTAATTATTTTTTACATATTTTTATTTATATTTTTACTGATATATAATATTAATATTTGTTTTTTCTATATTTTTTATTTTATTTTTCATAATTTCATGATTCAATAACGGGTTTTGATGTCTTAATAATATATTACCATTTTTAAATTTGTTAGAATATACGGTATCAATAGTTATTTAAAAGACACTTTAGTTAATCCTTATATTGTCACATATTGATGAGTGGAATAATTATATACAGTTACATAACTTTTTCAAATCCATATGACGTAATATATTTTTTCTTAATAATTGCATTTATGTTATAAATTTGTGAGTGTAAAATTAATGCCACTTCATTGTTAAGAATCATGTGGCCAACATGCAAAAGGAATCTTCACGTGAATTGATTCCTAACAAATTGTAATATTATCTTAATAATTTTGTTGTAATTATTGAACATGATCAGGCATTAACTGATCCCATCTCAAGGCATTAACTGCAATTCTCTCCCTATAAATAGGCTACTTGGCAGAAGAGAAAATTACACAGAAGAAAAGAAGAGAAAGATAGATAGATAGAAAGGATAGAATATATATATATATATATAATATTTATTTGTTATCAAAATAACAAAAGAGAGATATTTTTATTTATATTTTTAAGTGCTCAATTCTCGACTCCGTTTCAGTTCGACGGAGCTCGTAGATCTGGTGTGCTACAGATTTAGAGACGTTTGCCGTTGTATCTTTGGGGAAGTTACGCCTGAACCGTTAGCTGCCACACGGGGCGTATTCTTCTTGCGGAAAGAGTTTTACTCGCCTCGGCTAAAATCTTTCCGTTTTAAGTTTTAATTTATTTTTCCAGTTGTAATTTATTTTTTCAGTTCGATTGTAAATTTCTATTTTTAGATTATTTGTAAGAACTGAAAAATACATAACAGTTCGTAGGATTCCCGTGTATTTTGACACCCAAGAAATAACAGTCACAAGAAGAATATCTCAACCTACTGGACTGATGGCTTCACCGGAAATGGTTCCAACACTCAACATCCGATCAATCATGTACCTGCTGTCCATGTCCCTACTGCTGAGAAGCCGAAAAAATTCAATGGGCTTGATTTTAAAAGGTGGCAACAAAAGATGCAATTTTACTAGACCACTTTGGGTTTAGTGAAATACCTGAAGGACGACCCCCCGGTTATTGCTGAAAATGAGACAAATGCTGAACTACGCACTGCGTACGAAGCTTGGGGGCAAGGTGATTACCTTTGCCGTAACTATGTCCTGAACGGACTTAGTAATGAGTTGTACAATGTGTACAGCTCGGTTGGTTCTGCCAAAGAGCTTTGGGCTGCCTTGGAGAAGAAGTACAAGACTGAGGATGCCGGGGCGAAGAAATTCGTCGTCGGCAAGTTTCTTGACTTCAAGATGGTCGACTCTAAGACCGTCGTGTCCCAAGTGCAAGAGTTTCAACTTATCTTGCACGATATCCATGCTGAAGGAATGTCTCTAAGCGAGTCATTCCAAGTTGCGGCTGTGATTGAAAAGCTGCCGCCGGGTTGGAAAGACTTCAAGAACTACCTCAAACATAAGAGGAAGGAGATGAGTCTTGAAGATCTGGTTGTTCGTCTTCGTATTGAGGAGGACAACCGTAATTCATCAGCGAAGACTCCGATGATAGAGGCTCGTGCTAACTTGCTGGAGCAAGGCTACTTGAGCAAGAGGAAGTCCCTTGACAAAGGGAAGCAACCTGCCAAGGTTTGGAAGTTTACTGGAACCTGCTACAACTGTGGAAAGCCAAACCATATGGCAAAAGACTGCAAGAGGCCAAAGAAGGCTGGGCCAAAGAAAGGGCAACCTAATGCCCTTGTGGCTGAACACGACCCTGTGCAGGGTGAACTGACCGACTTCGATATGTCGGCAGTGGTGTTTGAAGCCAATATGATGGATAACCCAAGGGAGTGGTACATCGATACTGGTGCCACTCGTCATGTGTGTTCCGATAAGAAGGTGTTCTCTGAATACACTCCTGCTAAGAATCGGAAACTTTACATGGCTAACTCAGCCACGGATGATGTGGCTGGAGTGGGCAATGTGGTGCTGAAGCTGACTTCTGGAAAGGAATTGAAGCTTAAGGATGTTCTGCATGTCCCAGACATCCGCAAGAATTTGGTCTCCGGATCTCTTCTTGTTGAGCATGGATTTAGGCTGGTATTTGATGCTAAGAAATTTGTTCTTAGCAAGTTTGGAACTTTCCTTGGTCGTGGCTATCTCGACAAGGGTATGTTCAAAATGAATGTAATGGCCGTGAGCAGCGAACTGGAACGGAGTCGAGAATTGAACACTTAAAATATGAATAGAAAATATCACTCTTTTGTTATTTCGATAACAAATAAATATTTCTATATTTTTCTCTCTGATATTTTTATCCCTCCAAAATTATTTTTATACCTCTAATTTTTCCTTTCCCTCTTTCTTTCTTTCCTTTTCTCTTTCTTTTCTTCTGTGTATTTCTCCTTCTGCTGAGCCCCGCTATTTATAGTGGATTTTGAGCAATTGTGCATATGTCTTCACGCGTCTTTAGCAATAATTTATCCCAACTTGGTTTAATAATTAACAAGAGAAATTGATTCTTCAGATTCTTCATGTGGTTCCAGCTGCAATTTGCATTTTTTATTTCTCCACCTGGCTGTATTGGTTGTACAAACCAACCACCTAATTAAATAATTGGTTGGCCACCATCTCTGATTAAATACACTCACAATTATTATAATCCCCCACATGAGTGTATTTTAAATAAACATACTATTGTGCTCAATTCTCACAAAAATCTATTGCATCAGAAAAGGTAGTTTTTGGCTTTGAACCTTTCGTAGTAAATATCATCGGATGCACTGGCGGCCTAGTGGACATAATGCCTTGAACTATTCCTCCATAGTGTACACCTAGACAATGACATTCACACAATAGAATCTTAACTCCATTCCGTTCTATCGTTGTGTCCG